GCAGTCAACGGAAAAAATAACAGCGCTGTTTTAACATCTCCAGCTACAAGCAAAAGCAGCGATTCATTTACTGAAACTCATAACAGAAAGAAAGAACGGCAGCAGCCGGTGTTCAGAAAACCCCCAAAACATTTTATTTAAATTAAAAAAACAGAATGGAGAGGAGGGAAACAAGAAATACACGATTAAACAAAAAAGTGGTCTCTTCCAGCACACGTTAAAAAAAATCTCTGATGTAAAGTTCAGCCTTTTGTGTGATTTGGCACATTTAAAAAAAAGAAAAAAAATCCAAAAAGTAGCTGCATTATAAATCTCATCTCTCTCGTCGACATTAATCCTGAAACAAAGAAGAAGAGAAGGTAAAATATTCCCTCCAAACAAAGCTTAGAAATTCTAAATGCGCAAATCAGCCCATCAGGTTACGTTGCTCCGCCCATTAAAAAGTCGCCTATCATCGGTTATTTATGGAAGCCTGCTTCCGCCACTAAAAAGTAAAAAACAAATCCATAACTCAAAATTCTGAGTTATTTTCTCGAAATTTCGAGTTATAGATACTTTTTTTTTGGCAGAAACGGGCTTCCATAGGTTATCGGACTGACGATTGTTGGTTGGAAAATTTTTATATATCGCCAAACCGTAATATGCCGTGTTTGGTTCATGCCAAACGTAGAGGCGTATCATAACCAAACGTCAACCTTGGACATCCATCCTTCGATCGGATGAAATTTTGCAAACCTGAGCTGTGAATCCACACAAAGACACAGCAGGTCTGTACCGAGGAAACAAAGCGCATTTTAACTTAAAACTGCATGGCAGCAAAAGAAACGCACACAGTGAAGAGGAAAAGTGCATTACTATAATTTCTCCACAGAATAAGTCCCAGAATGCATTTAATAAAAACGTGATTTCTACATAGCGATGTATCAAAGCACAGATATTTCCTTAAAATCGAATTTGAACCGCAGCCTTGGCATAAATGAAAAACAGCATGTTTTACAGTCAACTCGATGCAGTTTGTAGCAGGAAGATCAAAGCTTCCTTATTACAGTAAAATGTGTGGAATAGCCACGGAGAGTTAACATCAACCTTAATAGTTAAAAGAAGGCCTTGCAGTAAAAACTATTCATAATTCAATATTTCCTTTATTTCTCTCTTGATATTATGCTGAACCCAGAGTGGATGAAAAAAAAAGATACTGCGTGTGTATAATTTGCAATTTCATGCAACAGTGGCTCATGAGGGGAAATATGAGAGAAGGATTGTGGAAACATGAAGGCTGATGAACCAGAGGGGAGCGTAAGGAGAGGACGGACAGATCTGTGTGCAGAGATGGAGATGATGTGACAGTCGCAACAAGACAGAAAAGAACATCATTACAAACACAAGATAAGACCACTCAGGAAATCGACTCAGCCGTGGATTTCCTGAGAGTAACAACAACTAGTTTCAGTTGCCACAATCATCTTCAGCAGGTATGAAACAGCCCGACACAAACCTTTAAGCATACGTGCAAATATCTATTATTAGTGAAAAAGGAAAACAATTCTCTTGATATCAAATGGTATGGATAACAGAAACACTCCCACTGGGGGGATGCTGGGTCAATTTGGATTTGTTTCGAAGTTACTAAAAATAAATCTGATTTTTCCAACCAATCGCTGTCCAGGTAAGTGGACTGGTGGAGATGCATCGACTCTGCTCTGCTCTGGGATCCTTGTCTCATCGTTTTTCCAGACTTACATAAATTTAAGTCTTAAACTTCTCGTTCCCCGAGATGATTCATGCGTTTCATTTTATGCAAAGCTTAAAGGGCTCGACTACGTGACTATTTGTTAAACTGGTTAACTGATTAAACAGAGTGAAAGTAAAAACAAGGAAATAAAACTGCAGCGTTTGAGATGGAAAACTGAGTTTTACACTCGAAAGCAGAGCAATTTGCAGAAGGGAGTGTCCGAGTGACTAACTTCACATTTTGAAATATGGTGGAGCTGCAGACAGTTTCTGCAAGTTGGTCCTCTGTTGGTGGAACTTGCTGAGTGTTTATCATATTATCCTCTGTTCTTTACACAGAAGTGGGCCTTCTATACCACACTGTGGTGTGTGTGTGTGTGTGTGTGTGTGTGTGTGTGTGTGTGTGTGTGTGTGTGTGTGTGTGTTTTCCACTACTTTGGGATGAGATCTGAGAGGAAACGGACAGATTTCCATCTGTCTGCTTCATTTGCAAAAAAGAAGAAAAAAAAAGTCCTTCTTATGATTCAAATATATGCTTTAGCCACCTCTCTCTCCCCTCCCTCCCTTCCTCTCTCTCCCCTCCCTCCCTTCCTCTCTCTCCCCTCCCTCCCTTCCTCTCTCTCTTCCATCTCTGCTTCTCTCTGTCCAAATGGCATCTGTGGATGACCAGGGCACAAGTCTCAGGGGTTGATAGAGAAATTGTGTTGGGGGGAGAGAAGGAGCGAGCACCTCTCGCTTCACATTTCCCTAGCACCACCCCGGCATGCCAGCCTGCAGTCTGTTCTCCTTTGAGCTTTCTATTCTACCACTGAACAGGAGAAAAAAATCAATTCATATTTCCATAATCCACACTCCTGTCTGTCTGCATGTCTTTGCCTCTCCCCCTCCTTCCATCCCACTCTCTCTCCCTCTCTCCCTCTTCCTCTCTCTACCCCTTCTCCCCTGGGGTAGACTAACCCCTCCACCCTGATCCTACGGCCTACAAATGTCATTACGCTGAGCAACAATAACGGCCTAAACAAAAGGAGGCCTCGCTCTGAGCTGCGAGCCCCTCTGCAGAGATCGCTGGCTGCTGCCGCCATATGCCGGCCAGCTCGGGCCACAGAAAGAGAGCGAGACTGTGGCTACAGAGGACTCCAGCCCTCAGAGCCACAAAGGAGGAAAGGAGCCTTAATCCTGGTAATGAGGCCCGTGAATACAGCCTTTATGTATACGGGGGAAAGGGCCAATCCCTCTGTACACAGCAGGCTAACTGGCCATCTTAAGGGCCATCTTATCCACACAAACGATCTGGTCGACAACAGAATGAAAGAAAAGCGAGGTTGCGGGGGGCTAAAAAGGACAGCCACGCTGGAGAGGATGCACGAGGCCCGCGTCAACACAAAAACCGTGTTGGCCCTATGTTTACGTCTTCATTTCAGTTCCCCCCCTTCGCTTCCATTTCCTGTTCTTCCCTCTGCAAGTGTGTAATTTCTTGCTCGCTCTCCCATTCCCTCACTGCCTTTACCTCGTACTCTGATAGCACGCTCTGGTTCTTGTGGGGCAGGCAGACATCGCCTGAAGCATCTTTCTACAACTCAGTTTATTTCTCAAAGTGGATCAGAGAGGCAGGAGAGCTGTTTAAACTCACTAGCTATGCTGCTGTGTTGAAGTCTATCGTAACCTTCGCCACATATTGGAGTCTATCAGCTACACGTCTGTTTATTCCCTCCTCTCAGCTGACAGGCTGCCCAAAGTCATCCGTCCAGCCATCCGGCTCCAGGATCTGCTCTGTGGTTGCTTTTAGCACCGAACACAATGTACAGCCCGTCCTGTCTTCTCTCTCTCAGCCTCCGCTCGCCGATGATGGGCACACGCACGTTGTTAAAGGCTGCGTTACTGTTTTGATCAAGTTGGGTTTAATAGAGAAAACACGACACCCCGCTGGGCTGCTGTGTTTTTCTGAGGGTAAAGAGACTTTTAAATGAAACGATATTTAATCCAGAGTTCACAATTTCCCCGTGAGAAGCTGAGAAAAGCTGTGACTAGCATTAGGAAGGTTTTCAGGAGCCCCCCCACACAGAAGCTGGTCATAGACATTATTAACACAATTCATCATATGGAACTGATTACCCTCTCACTGCGGCTACAGAAGGAGAAAGGAGAGAGACTTTGGGAACGATGGGATCGTTATACGTCAAGAGACTAGAAACGGATACCTCTGTGATGCAGAGGGACAGCTGCGAATCTGTTTGAATGGAACATGCACCTGTGTAATATGTAATATGTGTAAGTAAAACAAGGCGTTGTGTATTCTGGAATATGTGAACATATGTGAATGTGTTGGTTTCCCTTGCCCTCTTTAGTTCTGTAAGTAAATTAAGATGAAAATCAATAAAGAGAAAGTATTTTTTTAAAAAGGAAGGTTTTCAGGTCACGTTCACTCCCTCATTGGTTCTTATTTGAACCAATGAGGGAGTGATGAGGCTCGGGGACCGAAGGCGTCCCATGAGAGAGCGCGGCACTGCATTTTAACCAAAAACAACGTGTATTTAATGTGAACCTGTGGTTAATGTCTGCCATATAGCACTGGTGCATCCTTAGAGCAAACCCAGGATTGAGCGGCTGGACGTTTGGGCAGACTCAGACTTCAAACGGTTAAAGTTTGCAGCCCGTTCGAACCTGTGATCACCTGACTGCTTAACTTCATCGCACAAATGGTTTCCCCACGTTCTCTGCTTTGGTGAGAAACTCCATTAAAGTGAAGAAAAATAAATAAAGTCGGAGTATGATTTGGAATTTAAGTCGCACAAACTGGTAACAGACACCAACCCTCCGAGTGATTTGTATCAGAACGCTGAGCCAAAGAGCACAAAACAGATGTTTTATTTTTATTTCCGATTTCGAATGAACAATAAATGGAAACAAAAGGCAAACAGGAGGACAACGAGACACAGAGAGGAAAACAGAGGTGCGCATTCCTGTCACGGTTGCATGATAATTACTGATTCGTCAGTTATTGAAGACCTGCTCACTGCTTTTCATTACCAACAACAGACGTACAGTGAGACGGAGAGTAGGAGGGGAGAGAGAGAAGGAACGGCGGAGGTGGTGGTGGTAGGTTTTGGGGAAGGTTACCACAGGATGGCAGGGTGAGTGAGGGCATTAGGAAAAGGAAGGAAGGGAGATGTGAGAAGAGGAGGTGGTAGAGGTTGTCTGTAACATTGAACCAGGGGAAGATTTGGGGGGAGAGACAGACAGAGGAATGAAAAAGCAGAATGTGTTCCAACCTGGTCTGTGTGGTCCTGGGGGAAGCTCCACAGCACGGTTGGATCTAGAGGTAATTGACAGACAGCATTAATCAGCGGGTGAGAAACACACCGTCTTTGCTAGCTGCCTCAGAACACATACATATTAATGAGAGGGGTGGGGGCAAGGGTGGCTGCTGTGAGTCTGTGCACGCACGCACACATGCATACTCGCGCGCGCACACACACACACACTCGCGCATGCACAGAGTGAGCAGCGCACAGTGAAAGACAAGACACAGAGTGTCTCGGCTGCATGCGCTGTAAATATGCAAATCTATACTCTCGTTGTAGATATGAGTTTATATTACGCACCAAATCATGCACGTTTAAGCCGCAGTAACACGCACCCCAGTTTATTTGCTTAATTATTGCTACATTGATTCAAGCCTGGTGTTGCTGAGGAGATGTAAATCTTACACTAAAAGGTTTATTATTATTATTATTGTTGTTGTTATTATTCTGCAGCAGCGCTACATGAAACCCAGCACACTGCGATATCCATTTGTAGTAAACAACTTAAACAACACTGATGCTGACAGATTAGCCAAGGTGATTAACTGGTTTTGAATAAAGGAAATGAAATATGTGTGATACCCGTTTTATCAGCCAGTGATAAGAATACAGGAAGTAAGGCGTGTTCGGCGTAGAGAGCGCTTCTATGAAACACTCTGTGGTGCACTTCTGGCTTCTGATCAGACAAAATTCAACGTCTGGTGTTTTATGAGGAAAGCCTCAACATATCGCATCCTCGCTGCGCCAGATACAACCTGGTAAGTTAATAACAGACACGACAGACCAGCCAACAGTACTGCGATCATCCAGCAGTCGTATGTATTTAGCAAAGACAGAGCACAGAAACCATTTCCAGAATATCTGGATAGTGAATAAGGGCGTGTTTGGCACACGTGATAAAGAACCGCGTAATCGGCGCCTCGGCCGACGGTTGCCTCAGCGCGACCCACGAGCGTCCAAACTACACACGCTAGTTTCTCTCAGGCTTAATGCTTTGTGTTTGAAATGAAGCGATCACCCAGCCACAGCCAGAACACAGGGGTCTGTGGTAAACATGGCTTCCACAGCTCCAAGGTCACCCCGTGACCCTGGCAAGAACAGCGAGGGTTTGCACAGACAAGCTCACACATGCCAAGTTCACTGTCACGGCCGCAGAAAAAGGCCCACGGGCTCATAAACACCCCCCCGCCTCTATGTAAACAAAGCAGAACGATGAAAAAGTTCATGTGAAAGCAGCAAACCTCTCCAGAGTTCACCCGGTCTGAAACGCGAGGACGACTGAGCCCTCTAACAGAAAGCTGAATGCACTCGATGGACCTCGAGCCTAAAAATAATGCAGAGAAGAGAAGACGGCTGCTCGGATGAAGACGCTATGCAACACCACGAGTAGCTTTGTGGCTAACGCACCGGGCTGTCCGCGAGAGACAGGGGGACACAAAGGACCCACGGATGACGGGACGCAGCACAATCAATGATGGCTTACATAATCCTGTTGGATCATTTCATGGGCCCCATCCTGAAAAGACTGACAGAAAAAAAAAGAGCTCCAAGCTCTACGACCCCCCATCGCCCCGACAGTTCGGCCTATTTTATGCTTATTTACTGGGTGAGAGGATGGGAACTGCTGCTGGTGAACGATGCAGGACAGAGGAACCAGACGGCTTGTTCTGTACACCACCTCAAGTATTGATGAGGAGATATTCCAACCTATTCACCGTGTATGAAAACGGCCCCAATAACCTTTAAATCGGCCCCTTCGATCCAGGAAAAGTCCCTGCGTGCCTACCTGACATGTTCATTTTGAGTTTGGAGTCATGCCTCGAGCAGAGAGAGAGCGACTACACGCAAAGAAGACTTTTCTGGTGCAGCAGGAAGAACTTCTGAACATTACCAAACACCCTCCTTTATCATTCATGTGTCCTTCTCGTCTTTGCTCCAGGTGTTTCTTCTTTCGCCTCCATTCATTTTCTCCATCCCAGCGATTTCAGCTCTATTGCTGCTCCTTCCACACTCACCTCATTTCTCCCCCCTCATCCCACCCTCCCCAGTTCTGCACCCCCTTCTTTATTTTTCTCACCGTCTTGCAATCACATACCCCTCCCCTTCAGAACGTCCAGGGCGTGTGGTGGACACAAGAGGGGGCCCGAAGGGGGTTAAGGCTGAAAGTTGAAGGTTACAGAGGTGAAGAGGACCCCCGCTGCTCCTCCAGGGGACACAAATGTCACTATGACAGATCCTGCACTGGTTTATCCTCCCTCCCCTCCTGCACACGTGCACACACAGTGAGAGCTCCGTGATACGTCTCATTCTGAAAAACACCTGAACTCTGCAAAGACCGCTCCAATTCATTTTCCTCTGAGAACGACGTGCAGAATGTTACTAGTTCAAACAACCTGTCGTATTGTTTATGACGTGATTTGCACGTGCACTCTCCTCTGTGGGTTTAGACTCTGGCTCCAGTATGATGTGGACGTCATACTTACATGTTTTCTGTTGCTAACAAGGACATAAACCACTTCCTGTGTCCAGCAGACAAGGCTAGCAGCAAGCTGGAGATACAGTGTGTGTGTGTATATGCATGTGCACATAGAATAATTAAAGGTAAAGGTGCTTATAGGGCACCTTTCTAGTCAATTTGACCAGTCAAATCAGTTTCTACTACAAGTCTTATTCATCACACACACACACACACAGCGTTTTTGTCCAACATCCAAATAGACACACTCACACCCTGATGGATGGATCTCTTAGTATCTTGCCCCAGCATACTTTAGCAGGCGGGCGCGTAAAGGGCTACGAACTTCTGACTGGTAGACGACCCCCACTCTCCCGTATCCCAAATGATGGGACACTCGTGCATTTGTAACTGGAAAAACTTCAGCGCCGTGGTCGAGGATACCTCTGAAACGTCCGTAAAACCAAGCTACTGCTTCCTGCTGTTTGCTTAGACATCCATCACGCACGGGTCTTTGGGCCCACGTGCATAACAGACTGATCTGATAGACATACACCTCTCCCATGTCAATCAAACTACAGCTGACAGATTCTATACAGAGCTGTTGCAGCCCAGATTAAAACAGGACATTTTAGCTAGAGTGACGAGGTGAAAACAACCTAGAGCATATTTCACCCCGGTGGGGTGTAAACAGATTCAGTGGGTGAGAATTGAATTGAAATCACCTATCGAGGGTTAGATTCCTCCATTCGCACCTGAGAAAATTGATGTGGGCAAACGTGGCGATGAGTGAGGGCTGACCACTGGTCTGTTTGCAAAGCGTGTGCGTGCCCTGTGTGCAAATGTGTACCGTGTGAGTAGATGCGTGTTTACAGATAGACAGCGAGCTCAGGAGTGAATATTTACAGTACACTAGCTTGTCCATTGATCCCTGAGGGCTTTGAGCATGGCTGAACTCCAACAGTCACAATGGGGGCAACAAGCCGGCAGCCCCTGAGCCGTGACACAGATACTGGTGAGATGAGGGCGGTGCTGGTTGATCAAAAATCGGTGTTTTGGCAATTTCTGAGACATCTGCCTTTGAAAGTCAGTGGAAAAATGGATTAATGGGGAAAGGGTGCTGGGGCGGCGTGCAGGGCGGTGGAGGAGAGTGGAGGAGGGAAGAGGTGGGTGCGTGGCCTAAAGGCCGTCCGCAGATGAAGCAATTTGCTCGTCACCCTTCGCTTTGCAGCTGACGGTTGGTCACTAGTGAACACGCCAGGCTCTGGTAACCATATTGAAATTTCCCACCTCGACATAAGTCAGTGAGCAGTCACCTCGATCCCTCACCCAACAGCTGATGAAGTTTAGTCCTAACCCACCAACTTTGCTGCTAAGGGCAGGATTTCACAGTTGCCACATTGCTGCTAGTGTTCACCAGCAGAACGATGTGGTTAAACAAAAATAGACCCGCAAGCAACAACGAGGAGGCCGAGAATTTCTGCAGGGCACGAAATCTAAACCGGACCCGTGAAAGCTTGCGAAGGCAGTCGACGTATCAGGTTTGGTGCCCTCGCGTCCTTTTTAGAAAGTTCACCATGAAATTTGGTGGATTGTAACTGACAAATCGTTTGGATTGTTAAAAAAGAACAAGAATCTGATTACATCTGTGAGGATTTATTTCGGTGCAGATTCCATAATGTTTATACAGTTTTTACAGCTTCTGAATGCAACATAAATATGGTCAACATGACGAGTTGTTGTCATCCTTGGATTTTGCAAGATACAACAGGAAAAACAAGTACTGAACACCTCACCAGTTTTCCAGGTGAATCTACTTCTAAAGGTGCTGTTGACATGAAATTCTCACCAGAGAACGACCAATCCAGTCCACACATGCACAGAAATTATGTGTAATAATGAGAAACGAGACGGGGAGAAGTATTGAACACATGAAGAACGGGAGAAGCATAAAGGCAGGACGGTCACGACACCATGTGACATCTATCAGTAATTAGAGTCCTGCCACTTGGTGCAAATTAATATCAGCGGGTTCATTTACAGCTGATGGCAAATAAAATGTGTCATACAAGAAACATCTCATGATGGTTAAAACCAGTGAGCTCTCTCATCCGGCACTGGTTACAGAAGGATTTTCCCAGTGAGCAGTGTTGTGTAATCTGAAAGGACAAAGAGCATCATTTCACCGTAAAGAGTTGTCCAAGACTCAACCACCGAGGCCTGTGCGCACACTCACCACACAAGACTCCACTGCAGGAGACAAAGCACGTTGAGACGTGTTTGCTTACGACAATAAGCCAAGCCTGTGAAGTACTGGGAGAACGTCGTCACCTGAGACCAAAACTGAACTCTCCGGGTGCCGTAACACACACCGCGTTTGGAGGTCAAAACACCAACAGGGTTGGAGGTGGGAACATCAGGATGTGGGGCTGTTTTTTAGCACGTGGCACCGACACGCTTCACATAACTGATGGAAGGATGAATAGAAAAACATGTACCAAGACATTCTTGATAAAAATCTGCTGCAAGGGTGACGTTTGAGCACGAGGGCGATCC